TACGAAGCCCCAGTAAGAGTAGAATATAACAGAGCAAGGAGACTCATTTGTGATCTGGCGATGTATATTATCAGACACCCTGGGGGCAAAGTAACCATCTGCAACTAATTCTGTTTCATTTTATTACAATGGATCCTAATTAGGAACTATTCTCTAGCACGAAAATCCGGGTCTTCTTCAGTTGAGGGCTAATCAATAAGGAGCATGAATAAGTTACTCACTAGTAAACAAGAGTGCCCGTTTTTATACGAAAATATATGTCTCGTGGACTGCGTCAACCTGAACGTCGTATTAAAGCCAAACGGCTGCAGTACAACGGGAATCAGCCATCGTCTTCTAGTGAAATCGACTTACGAAGCTTTTTTCATGCACTTTAAAACGAAGTGAAAGTGTCTCCAACAAAAATAAAACCCTAGAGCTGATTTAGATTAAGGGCTGAATCATTCTACAATTAGCCCACGAATATCGATGAAGATTAATGGTTGATAGATCAATACTATTTTGTGTAGGCCAAACAATCGTAATGAGATTTCTAGCTCGACACTTGGCGAAATATATATGACTAGCATAACTTTCTGAGGTAAGCTAGCTAAAGGTTATAAGCACGTCGAGATAAATACTTAACTTCCTACTCGTGTATTTACGCATCAACACGCATATAAACAATTAAAAAAGAATGTGGTAAGAGTAATACCCAAAAAAGTAGAGAAAGCAGTTACTTAAGAACAACATTTAAAATAAGAAATGGATAAGAAAACAACAATCTGAAGAATAAAGCACCAGATTTTCGACGTTTTTTCAACTACTCACAAATATATCACGCAGAGGAAGAATGTCGAAAGGGATGCGAAGAGGTCGATAAAATTGTTAAAAAGTGTAGAACGTCGGACATGTCCAAAAATATTTGAAATGTAGAGAAAATGTCGTAATGAAGAACCCAACTGACGTATAATTTCATCATTGGATGAGTTACTATGCCCCAATAAGCGAATAAACCAAATTAAGATTGGGAAGAATAGTAGGCTCAACTACTTACGAACGGTTAAAGAAAAGCTACAACAGAAAGGTAAATACATGTCGACATCAACTTATTTCAGACACGGCGAATTCTGCACCAATGCCAAATGATCAACAATTAAGTTTCAAAAGGACATTTGACATAAATACAAAAAGAGGAAAGACTAAAATGGGCTTGTACCAGACCGGAGATCCAATGAATTAGGGCTAGTGAAATATTAAATTATTACTATATAAACGATGGATGGAGGAATAAGTTTAGACGAGTTAATGGAATCATACGCTTTTATTTTCAATCGTCTTTTCAATACTCCATTCCCATTCATCTTTGGCCATCCTAGCAATGTAATCAGCCACTTGGCCGGAAGCAATGGCCTTTTCGAACTCTTTAGAAATCGCATGCATGCGATCGCCCGTTATACTAGTTTGGTGCTCTGAAGAACCGTTTTCAGATGAAAGCGGACGTGGCAGACAGAGACGGAATCCAACAGGTAGCAAGCAATTAACTGGATATAGTTCGATAGTGGCTGGACCGTTCCCACCAGAATCAGCTTCGGCTGGATGTTCAACAAGCCAAAATAGGCTGTGTCGAAGGTTGATGAGAGCTGAAAGTTTAAGCCCAGAAGGCAAATTTGGATATACTGCGGTAAGAACCTTTGATTCTGGATGCCAGACGCCTGGTGAGTCTGTTGAAGTGAAGTAAAGAGAGAGCTGGAAAGCAAAAATGGACCAAACAGGGGAATATAAATGAGATAGGTTTAAGCATAAAAGGGTTAGGAAAAGAAAGAAGAGCTGTCTTGACCCTATTCCGTTTAAGGTGATGAATAACCAATAGTTGAATTTTTCCCTAAGGATATAAATATATTTCATGTTTTAATTGAATTTCACATATCCTTGCTTCTTAAAAGGTATTTTTATCCAAGGTGGACTGTAATTTAGACCTCGTCTAGGCTTCATCAACACCCCCAGCGGGACTCAAAATCGGGTTGTGCAGCGTACAATCTCGGCACCTTAAAGGAGGTGAATGCAGCTATTATATCATATATACGTGTAGTCTCTCAAACCCACTTATGATACAAAAAATAAGCAATATAGTCGATAAAACATTGTGATAAGAGAAAGGAATTGGTTTTTTGTCGAAATTCACTTCTGCCCTGTGACCCAAGGGCTTCGTGGCACTCTGGTGACGACATGTCGAGATTATACGCTGCACCATCATAGTTTGAGTCGAGCTGAGGCTGCAGATGAGACTTAGGCGAGGTTGAAGCTGCAGTCTACTGTGGATCAGAATGCCTTTTGGGAAGCAAGGCTATGTGAAATTAAAGAAAATGAGGCCTACTTAGATAATTGCGGTAACATTCAACTGCAAGTCCTTCATTACCTTAAACACAACAATAAAGTGTATATATCAGATTTACTGGTAACCTCGAAAGCCAACTTATGATAAGAAATAAATAAGAAATTTGGATAAATCAACAGGACAGAAGAGGGCTAAAGTGATTGGGTCATTATATATACAAGATATAGCAGTTTAAAAAAGCCTTTATAGAAAAATAAAGTAACAAAATAAAAGTAATAAATAATAATCTGACTCGAATAGACCTAATCGGCCGTCTCGATTGACATTAGCCTGGCTCTAACTACGAGTGGCAAGTTGACGATTACAAAATGCGAAAGCCTTTCTTGAAATAGACGAAGGGATCAATAATCAGGGATAACATTAGCAAAGTAAAATAAAACGCATAAAGTAATTAAATTTAAATGTAATCAAGCCTAAAGCATTTTATGAATAGAGGTTATAAAGCAGCTGTTTCATGAGAAAATAATATATATATATATATAAGTGACGATTGTAACAATATAAGATACATACCCTCCTAATGCGGTTGTATCGGCTGGCCAGATACTCATCCACTTTTCCCAAAGCATCATTAATGATATCCCCATGTGCCGGTAAGATCTTTATATCCAGGAATGACTTAATGAGGTCACGCGTTTTGTGCAATGAGGCCAAATATTGAGTTAGGTCGTGAATTAAGGTACTTCCATGACCTGAGTCGAAAAACGTATTTATTTCGCATGGACAAAAGTGTTCAAAAAATAAATGACAAATAAGCAAACAAAACTGAGGAATATATATGTAGGTAAAGATAAAATTACTTAACAATTCCGGTCGGTAGTGTCTACCTTAAAACTATTTCCGCAGATTCTATTGCTATTATTGCCATGTCAGGTAGATTAGCAATGTATCCAAAGTGAAAAAAACAGACATAAAAGCGATCAAGACGGTGTTTTATCCAAATGAATAAAACAATGAGACCCAAACAGCATAAACCTTCATTCTAGGGTCCGAACAAATAACCCTGCGTTTATCTGCTAGTTGCCTCGTAAGAATATTCATATACATAGAGTATAATAATTAAATAAATAAAAATAAATACTCTTATACATGAGTTC